CCTCTATAGGAGTGTCTTCGCGCAGGCTCTTGATGGGCGTCAGAGTCCAAACGAGATGACGACTCATATCTGCGACGTCTGTAGGGTTCTGGAGAACGCCTTGATTCCTTCCTGCGTGGAGACTTCTTAGCAACACTCTCTGGGGCGTCTACTTCAGATGGGGAAGATCGTCGTGTCCGAAAGCCTTCGCGCAGGCTTCCCTCTTCATCCAGATGTGGTGGGGAGACTGTAGAGCCTTCACGCAGGCTAGTAGACGTTGTAGCGGTCTTCATAGCAGCCTTCTCCTGAGCAAAGCGACGTTCCATCATCGACATCATCTGGTCTGTAAACTGTTGCATGAACAGTCCCGGGTTGAAGTTCTGCGTTGTCTGAAGAGACTGCTGCAGGGATGATGCATCTGATACTGAAGAGACGTCATCTAAGGCTCGCTGCACTCGTGAAGAGTTGATGCTGCTGCTATCTCTGGTACTCGATGACTGCGTTGATAGTAGGTCTCCTGTCAATGTCTGCGCTGATACCAATGCCGATGTAGCTGTAGAAGCAGGCTTCGTCTTCTTACTGACGATGGTGACTTCAGGTATGAGGATGGGTGGATCATCATAAACATCTGCTTCTTCCGGAGGAACAATCTCGGCTGAGAAAGACCTCGTCTTCTGAGTACAGCTGATCTTAGACTTCGCTGAAGTCTTCATAGTAGTAGCCTTCTTCTTCTGCGAAGATGAAGATTTGGCCTTCTTTATCTGCGATGAGGTCAGCTCAGTAGAAAATGATCTCTTATTTTCCAAGGCGTTTTGACTAGCACCTTTACCTGGCATGTAGATGGAAATATACCTGTCGGTATCCCACACCTGGGATGCCGTGTCGTTACCAGAACTACGGTATACCCCCGTTCTTCGGTCCTGACGATAAGGGATGTGCGAGAGGTACAATGTCAGTACCCAGCAAACACAAGACGATGATCATTGTTCAATAGTTTTTATTAACACTGTGTTGCTGGTCAACCTACTCTATGGTCACTCTATAAGACTTCAGCCGCAAAGCTTCAGTCTTAAGCCAAATGCTGGTGCTTCAAGATAATTTCTGAGACGATTCCTAGTGACCAACATCAAGAGTAGGCCCGCACCAGACTCCCGTCTCTGAGCTTTGCTCCAGCTTAAACCTCGGTTCCTACGTCACAACCAACACCCTTTTTCATTTTTTCTATTGGTCAATAACCCACAACCTGACTATCTATTACTCTCCCCCACCTCTATTTCGTACCCCCACTACCATATCTGTAAGACCGTGAGGTGGATTCCAGGAATCTCAGAGTCTCTCTCCCCTAGCCATATATGACTCGTAGAGTACCAAGAACTGGTAGCAAGGTCCCCGGACACGTCGCTCCATCTTGATAGTGCAGTAGTTTTTCCCTTACCTAAGCTATGAGTCACCTCACCTTGCCCTCATCAGCTCTAACGACCTACTTTCCCGTTTGTAACCTCCACTACTGACTTTCTACCTTACAACGTTATTAATCACTTTATATCTTAAATACATTATTAAATCCTCTCATAATTTGTATCTTCTCACCTCTTAATCACCCGTTATTAATAATGTTATTGTATATCTATTATTGTGGCAAGTACCATAATCTCATGCCTATAATATTATGGCCTCCAGCGTTCACTCCTGGTACATCGACCTGCTCCTGAGAAACGTTCAGCAATTCACTAGAATTATGAATATCTGCAGCAGTGGTTAACACACGGTTATCAGCGCAATCACTCGATTTAGACATGACTTGTGAATACCTACTTACCCAGTCCTTAGCACGTCTATGGATGGAAAAAAGGTAATTAATAAACTCAACCGAATTTAAATTTACACAAAACTCACAGCGAGAGCTGAAAGAACATGAAACAGTGCAATTTGGACATAATAAATGCGGGTCAGCCGCAGACACTAGGTACCTACAACGAATACAAGTTTTCATCAATTGTTAACATGAAGAAACCACATGTCAAACAACGGAAAATTTAGAACAAATTTCAAACCGTAATGTAGAATATAATCCTAATAAACGTATACAGCAATAATTTTGATGTAAGGTCCGAAAATATAAAAGGATATGTGCCGTATAGGGACCCAGGTGCTCTCACAACCGTCCTCAAGGGCGAAGAAGGAGAGAGTGACAAATATGGCCGATCATGTGACCATTTGGGCGCTAAAGGGAAGAAAGGGATGCTACTCTTGGGTGAGTGATTTTACGTCCGCTTTTTTAAAGGGGACTTCAAGGGATTTCAAGTGTTCCACTATTATTCGCAAGAGGAAGGAGACAAGCATAATTAGCATGAGTCAGGATAAGGAAAAATAATATTTATCAATGTTTAATTATTACGAGAAATTATGTTATGACCCATATCCCAGAAAGTTCTGTGGTCTAATAGATAAAAAGCTTTAATAATCATCAGGTGGTTGTGGTTCAGTTACTGTCACCTATGAAGAAAATATTTCAATTATTGTTATTAGAAAACCGAACATTTTAAACACTCCCTGTAAATCCAAAATTCATCGGCAACACTATTTACAATGTAAATATAAAACCTCACACCCGACACATCAAGAAAAAGTAAAACCTCACTCCCGACACATCAAGAAATATGTAAAACCTCACACCCGACACATCAAGAAAAATAAAACCTCACACCCAACACATCAGGAAAGAGTGAAACCTCACACCCAACACATCAAGAAATAGTAAAACCTCACATCAGACACATCAAGAAAAAGTAAAACCTCACATCCGACACTTCAGGAAAATGTAAAACCTCACACCCAACACATCAGGAAATATGTAAAACCTCACATTAGAAAAACGAGTACCGTATATGACCGTCTATAAGCCGAATTTTGAGGACCAAAAAAGCAGTCTGTAGAAGGGGGTCGTCTTTTCCATGGGTTACGCTTTCGTCAAACTTTTTTCGAGGGGTAAGAAAACAACATCGTATCACTATCACTTCGCGTGAACAAACAACAGAAGACGACTTTGTCAGTAGAGACGTCAAATTTGCAATTAAACATCACTAGACAAGATTATTTACCTTTTAAGTTATAAGTTGTTTTGCTGGGCATTGTATTATTTGCAGGGATTAAGATTACCGTGCGAATTTGCCTCGTACACAAAGCCGGAAATAGCAATCAGCTGTGCACACGTTTCCTGGCGAACAAGTTCAAACATGCACAATAATATAACGGGACGAATTCTGACGCAGTCATCAGTAAAATATAATACAGAATACCATTATTTAACCCAAAGAAATATATCCTAGCATTGTGTAATTTTAGTTACAGATTTTGCTCTATAAATTAATTAAGATTACCGTGTGTGTTTGAGCCGGAAATAGCAATCAGCTGTGCACACGTTTCCCGGCGAACAAGTTCAAACATGCACAATAATATAACGGGATGAATTCTGACGCAGTCGTCAGTAAAATATAATACAGAATACTATGAATTAACCCAAAGAAATATATCCTAGCATTGTGTAATTCTATTTACAGTTTTTATGTAAAATATATATAATCAACACTAAGGTTATACGGACCCTCATGAACGTTGTAAGCACATGGAATGGGGTAGGAAGCCATTTAAATTCACACATTTTTACCGATGTTACTGTAAACTAGCAGTCAATGGAAAACGAAGCGGTAATCAGTTCGTGATTGTTGAATGGGGAAAAATAAGCAAGCCAGTTTGTTGCTACAATAAATATGATATTTAGAGAAGCAAAATATATTATGCATTTTCTGTCAACTACACTTCGTTTCGATCCGTGAGTAGACACAATATATATGACAGTGAATTCTTTGAATAATGTGGACCAAAGTTATAATTATTGGTAACTGCCAGTTGTCTGTGGTCTGTGTTTGCCGCGATTAGGACCCCATCCCGGGGGATCGACTTATGCACGAAACATACCATTTTGACACTGATTTTAAGGGTCAAGTTTGGGGGTCGTCTTACCCATGGGGTCGTCTTATAGACGGTCATATAAAGTACGTAAAACCTCACACCCGTCACGTCAGGAAATATGTAAAACCTCTTAAGTAGAATTGGTCGTTATTACAAAGACAAAAGTGACAGTCAAAACAATGGTGAATATCCATAATACATTTAAAATAGCATTTGACACAGCGTATTGTAGTGGGTAAAACCCTGCACCTAAGGTGAGGTGAGGTGAAATAGGGTTAACGTTGTACTTGAGAATATTTCGCTCATATGACGATGTGCATGCGTGTGTATGTGTATGTGCGGCTGCTTGTACTAGCCCAGACTGAAGCTGGTTTTATAGTGCTAGCCCACTGAGATACCATGCCGCAGTGAAGCATAAATACCCCACTCAGACACATAATACTGACTCTGAGCCAACCAGTCCTTGTACCCATTAATGCCGGGCGCCAGGCAGGGACCAACAAGTACCATATTTTTGGTATGAGGCGGTCAGGGATCGAACCCGCTATCTTCCGCTCTCCTGCAGGCGCTCACCACGGAGGCGGTTCCTGCACCTAAGTAGACAAAAGACACCATAAAGGTTGTAGCAACTGATCGCATTAACAAAAATTTGCATGTCCATGGCCCATATTTGTTGTTTGGGATATTATTATAGGATATGAATATAGTGCACATATCCATGCAACTAGTACATGCTCAGGCACTGGTTTTTCCCTTGATCATTAGACGTCAGTCTCAACAGCACAGCGTATTATCAATCTAAACAATTTTTGCAGCCATTAGGCGCACCAGGTTATTGCGCCTTTCTCATCCTTATGAGGTACCCATTCATAGCTGGGTGGACTGGGACAGATAGTCACTGTACTTTATCCAAGTTCACTGCACGTAGCTGTACCTGCAACTGGGTGTTTGCACGTATTCATGTGGCCACCATCTGGTCATTTACCAACAGGGTTGTGTACTGTACACTAGGGATAGGTGAAATTAGATAATTGTGATGTCCTGCTGACCTTTTTCTTGTTCTCAAGCACCTTGTCCAGGAGTAGGTCTGAGTACTCCTCCAGCTGCAGGCCCTTGCACAGCTCCAGTAGGGCCTCTCGTCCCAGGGGGCGCCCTCGCCCGTCTTGTCGAACATGTCAAACACATCTCGCAGCTGGGAGCTGTATTCCTCCGACTCTGCCATCACGTCCTGCAATATTTATACTCACACACTGAACAGATGCCATAACATCCTACAATATATATACTCACACCTAATAAATGGCATCATGTCCTACAATATATATACTCACATACTACAGATTCCATCACATCCTACTACATATATACTCACACACTTAATAAATGGCATCCATCAAGTAAAATAGACTCATACACAATAAACACTATACTGACATGCTCTGCCATGATGTTCAACAACAAATATACTCATACACGAAACAAACGCAACACTGATTGACTCGCCCATCATGAATATACACTCTACTCATACATTAAGTGGTAATATTAAATTACAACATTTGATCGTGGCAGTTTTTGTTCACCATGGTGCACAATCACCCACTTAAACGTTACCCTTCTTTGTAAATCAATCTGAGAGCATCTTTACACAAACATACACCAGGAAAACATTTTTCATTTTTTACTGCAGTCAGTTAGGTCAACACCAACATACAATATCATGCTTTCCTGTTTAACACTAACATTCACTTAGATTAATTAGCACAATGGAACAATAAGAACATGATACACTGTCTATGATAATGACCTTGCTGTGAATTACATGTAAGTGTTACATATCGATAATCTTTACCTTCAATATACTCACACCTCATGATACAGTACGACAGGATTATAGATACCTGTCTACAGTGCTAAAATCTTGTGCAGACACGTGGATGAAATTGTAATATCACTGTTAAAATAACTTTGTCATGAAAGAAATAGAAATCCTATTTCTTAACAAAATAATGAAGTAACTGAGCCTGTGTTATAGTTCTACTTTTGCACAAGTCAGCTGACCAAACACATGGAAAATGAAAACAAAAAACACACTTGATGCACAGTATGATTCACAAAATAAACCTGGAGATTCATAAACTAAAAATGGCATTATACACCTCAGTGAAAAGGAAGGACAAACTTTCAAAACTGCAGCTGCCTCTGATCCTGTTCTTCTAACATGTCTAATATGGATGAAAAGTGTTCCTTGTCACATGTGAATTCTAAATGGCACTCCACAACATAATTATGTGTAACTTGCTGCACACTTGAACACAAATGCATTTCTATCCCTAATCTGAAATTATATATGGCCATGAGGAAGTCTCTCACAATCTATATCTCATGACAAAGGAGTGGATTTTTTCCTGATTATTTTAGGATAACCCCCCAAAATTCACAATTCACCGCAGAGAGCTCTCACAATGAATGACTCATTACAACAGCTTGTCCTCTATTAACTAGGAAAATGGGTCTCAATAACTTCTCTAATCCAATCTAAATAAAGGTTGCTATTCCTCCCTCAACCTTCTTTCACATTTACACACAACAGGGTGTTATCAGAACAATTTTTCCATGGAAGGGTATCAACCGAGCCTCTTATGGACATTGTACTACTTACAACTAGGGTTGTTGTGTATTCATGGAATCAAACTGTATCCCTTCATGAATTCAATTCTGTCTTTACCATCATTAGGAGTGAGAGAGTAAGGTTTTACGCTGCTTTTACAATATTCCAGTAATGTCACAGCAGGGGACACCAGAAATGGGCTTCACACATTGTACCCATTTGGGGAATCAAACCCAGGTCTTCAGCTTGACAAGCAGACCCATCACTAGGAATGCATATTCAATTTAATTAAAAAAAAGATTGCTTTTAGATGAGTTGAAGTGTTATTTATCAAAGCAAGCCATGCAAAATGGAGTATATCCATACCAAACAGGATTGTAGTCAACACTTGTATACATTTCATTTGACATTAATGAGATCACTAGTCATGTGAAATACCATTGTCAACATGGTCAAAACAGGTAAAAAAATGTATTCTGATATTATCCCACTGAATATAATGAATAATACATCTACTGCTACCTTGTTATTAAAATAGTGACCCAATATTCATGATATGTATTACATTTGCTTCATAGTGGATTTGTAGCGGCCCTACATCAGGCCTACCATACAAACGGTGAACAAATCATCAAAACTGAACTCATATACACCAAAACAGAACAAAAGTCACCAAAAACTGCAACAATATCCCTAAAACCGAAACAATACATCTGTAATGGAAGACAAATCGTTTGAAATGGAAACAAAACTCGCATATTAGCTACAACAGCGCGCGAGAATGGTCGCCGAGCGTACAAAACGGTACAAGTCCTCAAGAAGTCGCCTCCCTGCCCTAATCAGTGGATTGAGTTTGCACTCGTACACTCTAAAAATGATCACTTAGATATGCAATTCACGGAGAATGAACAAAGTTTTGTAAACTTTTTTAAATCACTAAAATATAGTAATGTTGAATGTAATGCTATGAATACTTTATTTACAAAACTGAAGAGAAACTGTAGCAAGGCATGTTGACAAGAAATCCTATTCGGTCGAACGAGGGACCACATTGTGTAGAATTGCAAGCCTGACACTGAGAAGTATGGACATAGGTTTGAAGCTTACTACAATAGGGGGTTTATGCGCTACATCCCGATATCAAATTTTCATGATTAGACTCATAGTGACGAAAAACAATTATGTACCAAAGCCTATTCGTCCCCCCTCGCCGCCATCTTTGACAATGTATAAGCCGTTTCGGGATGCTATGACTGCCGTGTTGGGATGCTATGAATGCTGTTTTGTACGCTCGGCGACCGTTCTCGCAGCGGTGTTGTAGCTGATACGCGAGTTTTGTTTCCATTTCAAACGATTTGTCTTCCATTACAGATGTATTGTTTCGGTTTTAGAGGATATTGTTGCAGTTTTTGGTGACTTTTGTTCTGTTTTGGTGTATATGAGTTCAGTTTTGATGATTTGTTCACCGTTTGTATGGTAGGCCTGTACATACAGTATTACTACCCTGTCTTGTTATCACTGTAGGTACCAAATGGAACGAATGTGTCTCCCAAGACCCTAATTGACCCTAGGCCTGGAAAGTGTCATGTAATTAATGTGAGTAGCCTGGCATTTGAATTAAAAACAGAAATCAGCAAACAATAACACCGAGAGTAGACTTAGAATGCCATGGTATAATATGGGTTGACAGCAGTTCATCTGGATACTTTCACTGGCTTAACTTCAACTGCCTTGACAAGTGTTCGTACTTCCATGAAATCAGAAGAAGGAAATTCCAAACAATGCATATTCAAATAGGTCAGGTCACCAATGTACATTGTACAGTTTCCTGGCCCCGATTTCTCAAAACAAACTTCTCAAATTTTTACTCAAGTTTGAGAAAACGCATTTCCCATGTTGAACTGAAATCGATATCAAACTCAAACATAGTTGACAATTTGAGTTTGGTAAATAGATTACTTAAGTTGTTTGGGTGTTTTTATTTTAAAAATGCAACTGAGTTAATTCAGCTGTTTCAAATTGTCAAACTCAGTTCGAATTTGAGTAAAAACTTAAGTTTGCTTTGAGAAATCGGGGCCAGATGCTACAACATGAACACAGCCATTTGAGTGTAGATGATGAATGTCATGTAACATGGTGAGAAGCATAATGTACTGGTTCAACATTAAAGACTGACAGACAAATGAAGCTCTCATAAAATCATTCCAGTAGACACAGTCAGAAGCATGGGTTTATCTAGACTTGTTCTAAGGTCCATATACTGCCCCAAACCAGCAGCATCTCAATAAGAAATTCAGAAATTCAATTCCTGTTACTTCAGTGAAGTATATATAAAATAACAACACTATATTTTAACATCATATATGGACATTGTCAAACTATCATTACCGTGTCTGTGTGCACTTGAATACAACTGAAGCTGAGGTAGACGAATGTTAACAGTTTCATACATCACATTCATATCCGAACGTTTTCATTTATCTTTACACAAAAGTAACTGGACAATATTTTTGCAGAAACCTTTCTTTCCAGGTACCAAAACAGATTATATAGTGGTATCATCTCTACCGGCCGTCAGTGATAGACCCTGGTCGAGAACTACTTCCTGATGATTGATTCATGTCCTACAAACTAACATTTGATACAGGAAATGTGTGGCATACTTTGTCTACTTTGTTTATATTTCGACTATGGAAAATAAAATTGCGTTCAGGGGGAAAGTTTTATATAGCTAAACTTTCCCAAGGGATAACTCAGCTTCAGAAAAATGTTCCCAGGTGATACCGAAAGCTCACGATTAATCAGTACAGATATAAATATTCTTAGTTCATATGATATGTGACATACTCTTACCAGTTCATGTTTTAATCCAGTATTACTTCATATTTGAAACCTGTATCACCTCACATTTGAAACCTATATCAATTCATATGTGAAACCTGTATTAATTCATTTGTGAAACCAGTGTTGTTTTCCTGCATGAACTTATTCCTGCATATTCAATTTATGAAGGTAATCTCAGCCATACATCTGAGGTATTTAAGAAAAGGGACTTTTTATTAAATAGAGGTTATTATGGGGGAACTCCAGCTTTATCTGAACAAATTACTGACTGAAATGAGATATGTTTATCTGAAACCAAATATTTCCGTGGGTTCAAGCTTTTACAATGGTTTTTATTCCTTTGGAAATATGAAAATTCACACAAAATTGCTGCAAATTCAGCATCATGTTGTAAAGTAGACCATACCTAGAGAAATCATATCATGACATACCTGCTTGTCTTTCAAGCCCACTAAACTGAACACCTGTAGATTCAGTGTACATCAAATGTGTGAGTGAGTGAGTCAGGTTTTACGTCCTTTTGCAATATTCCGGTGATACCACAGCAAGGGACACAAGAACTGGGCTTCACACTTTGTACCCATGTGGGGAATAGAACCCAGGCCTTTGTTGAACAGACACTAACTCATTCACCAACTATTTAACATAATAGACTCACTCCTCCAATAACAGGCACTCACACAAACAACACAACCAACAGAAAACAACACACTCACTCAACTCACATAACAGACTCACTCCTCCAATAACAGGCACTCACACAAACAACAGAC